ATTTCATGTAACTGAAATTAACTATTTCGTCTTTTGTGATTGCCTGTTTCTTATCTAGTTAAGAATTGCCATGCTTTGCTATAGTTGTGAAAGGCATCTGCTCTGGTTCTGTTGCAAATTTTTTATTGTGTAAACTTGAATATTCAGATCACACAACCACTTTGAGTTTATTATGGCATATGGTTTAAGATGTTGATCTAAACCTAACTTCTGCCAAACTGCATTCCACTTTTCCCAGCAGTTTTTATCAAAGGAAATTATTCCCCAAATAATTTATGTTCCCAGGTTTATTGAAAACTGAACAATTAAGAAAAACTGTTTCTGATTCTTCCTTCCTGATCTCTTCCACTGATCTCCTTTTCTCTATTTTTCAATCAGTAATAAAGAGTTTTAGTGATTAACTGATTTGTATTATAATTTAAGGTCTGGAAGTACTATTCCCCCATTTTCCCTTTTTTTCTCATTTTTTTTTCATTGTTTCCCTTAAGACTCTAGACCTTGTATTCTCCAAACGAATTTTGTAATTAGTTTTTCTAGTTCTATATAAAAATAGAATGGCATAGTGGATGGAGAGCCAGACTGAAAGACCTAGATTCAAGTCTATCCTCTAACAGTCTGGATGTGTGACCTTGGGAAATTCACTTAATCTCTCATGCTTTAGGCAATCCTCTAAGAATGTAAGTTGCAGTGAAGTTACCAACCTACATCACATGAAAGATTTTCCTGATTCCAAAACTCCCTATACCAATGAAGTCACAGGTCCAGTCCTTATCCCTATTTATAAAGTATCTCCTTGATAGTTTGACTGGTATAGGACAAAATTTATTAACTTAGGCACTACAGCCATTTTTTATACTGGTGTGATCCAATCATGAACAAGTGAATAACCTTTCAATTATTTACATCATTCTTATTTCTTAAATGTGTTTTGTTATTAGATTTCTATGCTCTGATTCTCAAGACAACTGAGATTTCTGAATGCACCAAATTTAAAAATGTGTATATTTATTGATTTTTAAATTATATTTGCATTTGGGAGGGGAAATTTAGTTTCCTCCATACATACAGGATGAATTCGATGTAATCACAGAAAGAAGAAGATAAGTAAGGAAAGGGAATTTGCTAACAAAGTTCAAATACCTATCTGTGCCTTTCCATACCCTTATAAGTATGGGGAAAATTATCTGATTGAATTGGAAGGGAGTTTGGGTTTGGCTATGTAAAGATTGAACAAACCCCAGGTCCTTTAAAAGACAAGCCTGCCAGCCCTTAGGTAGTTCAACAGTCTAAGGCAGAGAACAGTATCATGGAGTGTGACCCTGGGCCTCTACCAGAGGGCATCTAGGTAGAAGAGGATTTTCTCTCCTCCCTGTCCCACTGGTAAAAGAGTGGAACTACAGTAGGAAACCATGACCAGCAGAACACAGTTCAAGAGCATTTAAGGAACAGTTGAGATACAACAAACAGAGAAACAGAGATGATCTGCACTCCTAAAAGGAAGCAGCTTCAAGAGTGTGACCTATGGCAGCAGAGAAGAAAACTGACTATGAATTGAAAAAAAAAAAAAAGAACTAGCCCCAGCAACTAAGAATGGAACTATGGGGAGGAACAAACCCAAGGAGCCCAGCTGAGCAACACACCCAGCAAAGGCTCTAGCAGGGGAAGTATCTAGCAAGGGAAGTAGCATAGGGACTCAACAAGAAGAAAAAGGACATAAAAGCCCTGTAATACTTGAGACACAGTTCTCTTAGCTATATATATGCATCCTACATGTATGCCTCACTAGCACTATACTCTAAGTATGTACCCACTGGAAGATCCAACCTTTTTCCCATTCGTACTGTGTACATTTATTAGAGAGCGAGCCTTCTAAATGTATGGAGGGGAATATTTCATAAATACTGTTCTTACTATGCCATCTAGCTAAATGTCTTTGTTTTAAGCTAAATGTGTCTACTGTTTATTGAAAATAAACTCACTAGTGGGGGCTTGTAAACTATACCTTTAGCAGTATGGATCCACAAAGTATCTTTCTATATCTAGGGGATCTGCCATCTAGGGACCCAACCTTCAAGTAAAAATGTGTGCTGGGAAGAGGGTAGCCCAAGAGGGTACTACAGATACATGTACTATGGTACTACTGATAATATAAAACAAACAAAAAGTAAAAATTTTAAATGAAAGTGAATAATATGTGATTCTCAAATTAGTAAGAAGACACTGGAGTTTAATGAGTAGAATTGTGACATGGTTAGACCTGCCCTTCAGGAAAATTACTTTGGCAGCAGTGTAGAGAATAACTTAGAGAGGGGAGAGTTTTGAAGCAAGGAGACTAACTAGGAGACTCATTGCAATGGTCCAAAAGAAAGCTGGTGAGGGCCTGAATTAGGATGGTAGCAGCTACAAGAGGAAGGAGAAGAGGTCAGATGGGAGAGATTTTATGGAGATAAAAAAAGACAAGATTTGACAATTGATTAGATGTGTGGAATAAAGGGGAGCGAGGAGTCAAGAACGACACTAAGATTGCAAAGCTAAGTGACTGGAAGGATTATGGTGATTTTGACAGAAATGGTGTTCAATAAAAGGAGGCAGGTTTAGAGAAAAAGATAATGTAATGAGATCTGCAATGAAGATCATAATACATCCATGCCTACATATCCTGAGTGACTCACTCTTTCTTGCCAAAAATGAAAAAGTTGGGGAGGATGGGTCTTATTCACTGACCACTGCTTTGAAGCACAGAATCCCCCTGTCAAGAGGCACCTGCCACAGGCAGGTGTGATCTGGGGAGCAGGGAATTTTGCCTGCATAATTGCTGAATCACCTGGGTGTCAGTTAGATGATAACCATCATGAAGGAGACCAAAGCCTGGTATAGCTGAAGGCAGCCAGCATTGGGAGGGGGCAGAGTAAAGAAATGTTAAGCAATAATAGATGAAGACGGTAGTGTAGTTGGTTGTGTTGGAGAGAAGCCCTAAAATAGGATATTACAGAAAGGATGGGATCTGACCCATCCTCTCACTCTCTTCCTTTGATGGATTTCCGTTTGAGTTCATTCAATGGCCCCTACTTTGGAGACAACTTAGATAAAAATACAGCCATTCCACTTAAAACAAAACCTATGTATTATAGATGCCTAAAAGCACAATCAGGAAAAGACTTTTTTTGGGGAGGAGGAGCAAGTGAGGCTAAGAAGTGAGTACAGCTGGCCCCACAAGATGAATGTTCTGCAATCCAGCTTCTGACTTCATCATTTGCCTAAAACTACTCTCTCCAAAGTCATAAACGGTCATTGTCAAATCTAAAGGCCTTTTCTAAATCCTCACTCTCATTGACCTCTCTGTAGCATTTGACACTACTGATCACCCTCTTCTGGATACTCTATCCTTTCCAGGTTCTCATGATACTGCTCCCCTTGGTTCTCTCTTCCTATCTTCCTTCCTGCCTGCCTAACCATCCTTTCCCAGTCCCTTTCACTGGTTCTTCATTCAGGGCATACATTTCCCCCAAATGTCTGGCCTGGGACCTCTTCTCTTTTTCTTCTATATCATCTCGCTTGGAGATTTCATAATCTCCCATTTGGTGCACACGCAGTTATCATCTCTATATGGATGATTCCCAGATAGGTATCTCCAGCCCTAAATCCCTCCTCACTTCTGCCTACTGTCTTCTCTGACATCCTTCAAGTTTCAGCTCAAATCCCACCTTCTACAAGTCTTTCCTGCTTCCCCTTTCCCTCCCCCCCACCGCTTGTTCCTTCCTTTTAAGATTTTCTTCCATCTACTCTGTATTTACCTTGTATGTACATATTTTAAATGTTCTCTTCCCCTTCCCATGACAATTTGGTGACTGTCCTTGAGACCTGAAATCATATTTTTTGCCTTTCTTGATATTCCTAGCACTTAGCACAATGCCTAGCCCATAGTATGGATTTAATGAATGCTTATTGACTACATTAGATAATGTTAAACTCAGAGCTATTCTACAGTCACTTTATCTGTCTCCGTCCTCATGTCCTCACCCCTCATGTCCTCATCTTTATCCTCTACCCCATCCACCCTGATTTCCTCTGGGTGATGGGGCTTGATCTAAGTAGCTTACATCATTACCTTACGAAACTTTTCAGTGATAATTTATAAACTGTTAATTAATATTTCTTTGGCACTCCGCACTAGTGTCACATCTAAAAATCATCTGACGTTCTTAATAAATCATGTCAAATTTCTATTAAAAGGTAACAGTGTGGAGCTCAATATATTTGCAGTGAAATCCAAACTTATTTTTTCAGTAAGTCAATAAACACTTATTAAGCATTTACTATGTACCAGACACTGTATTATGTGCTGGATCTTGCAAAGGACAGAAAATATTTTAAAATCCACAGGACCTTAAAAGACAATTCGGGGCAGCTAAGGGGCACGGTGGATACATCTCTGGCCTTGGAGTCAGGAGGACCTGAGTTCAAATCTGGTCTCAGACACTTAACACTTACTAGCTGTGTGACCCTGGGCAAGTCACTTAACCCCAACTGCCTCACCAAAAAAGCAAAAAAAAAAAAAAGACAATTCAGATCATTGCCATATTCTAATCACTGACTATACAGTTGTTTATGATGAATGATACTCATTCCTTGGCATGTGTACAGAGTAAAACAATTTTAAAACAAAAAAACTACTGCTAACATTTAAACATAAAAATCAATCTATGACCTTTTCCACAATTTCTTCCTATTATAGAATTTAACGAGAAATTTTCCATCCAAAAAGCCATCTACAAAATAAAATAACCTTTCAAAGAAATACTAAAAAGTACCAAATTTCTTTTATGTATGACTCCAAAGCCTATTTTAGTAAATAATGACATGCTAATTTGTTATCAATCCATGTCCTTCAGTTTTAAACTACCTGCTTTTAACTTTTCAATATAATCCACAAAGCTCTAACTATAGTATGGATCTGAAGCAACAAAGTACACTCAATTCACCTGGAAATGGTTTCTTACCTTTGAATCTTCATTGCTCACTCCAAGTTCTAACACAGCTTGAGGAGATTTCAGCTTCGCTTGATTAGACTGAGCCATTTGAAGGTTAAGCTGCCATCCAATTGTCTCAAGCTGCAACAGACAAATACAGATGGAAATCAGATGGTGCAGAAGCAAAAAAAAAACCCCAAAAACCAGGCACTTTAAGCATGGCTCCCCTCATAGTAATGAACAAGAATAGCCAACAAGGCTACCCTCGTATCAGCCTTGAGTTTCCTTCAATATTCATACCCTACAATTCTCCCTCTACTGACAATTAGGCTTCTTGTCATGCCTATGAGAGTCAGCAAAACTAAGCAGTTTATAAGTAATGGTTCTATACAGTGGCCCAAATAACTCCAGAGGACTTATAAGGAAACCTATCGCCCTACTCTCGATAGTTAGCAGGCTGCTGTACAGAACAGTGCCATCAGTTGTCAGACAGGGTCACTGATGCATCTGTTTTGTTAACCTGTCCTTTGTTATATGAGAACTTTCTGTGGGAGATGGGTTATAGGGAAGCGGCAGTAATGTAAAAATACATCAATAAAATATTTTTTAAATAATACTTCAGAGACTGAAGGAAAGCGTGCAAGAAACTTAATCACTTTGTGGCATTAATGCCTTTCTCTGATAAGCTCAAAGCATTTTAAAGACATCTCAGTGACTTCAGTAAGCAAATAACAGTTGTTAATACTATGTTATATTTAGCTGGTTTAACAAGTAGGTTTTGAATGAAGCCAGGAAATATAAAGGTCAATGGTGCAATCCATAACACTGCTTTCGATAACACACAAATTTATTTTTTCCACAGAATAGAAATATACTTCATGAACACAAAGTAATAATTTCTAGGTAAGGCATACCATGAAAAAGTGAAACTATGGTTGTTCAATTTTTCTTCTTAATATATCAAAAGGTATGAGTTTGCTTTGACTAAATCTGCTAACTTACTAACTCCTGCGATGTCAAAACCAATTTAAGGTCTTGTATTTACTTTTTTCAAATTTCAAGTACCAAAATGCATAAGAAAGTTTTGTGAACTGCAGTTTAAATATTTGACAATATGCATGAGTAACGAAAATATAAGACTACTTGATGACACTGGTAAGAATGACACTATCATAACAACTTCAAATTGACTAACGTACTAATTATTTAAAAAAGATTGCTAAACAATTGGAAATCACAGCAGTAACTCAGAGCCAAAATGGAAAAAGAAAACTGAAAATGTTTTCTTTTAAAAGCTAATAATTGGACGAGAAACCAAAGCTACAGCCCTAATATAGTACCTTTCAGAGACTAGGGATGAAAAGGAGAGAGATGTTGTACAGACATAATCAAACACCACAGGCTAAAAATCAATTAAATGGAACATTTTAAATAAGGACCCTTGATGTACTGATCTTTATCACGGATGTACGACAGCCCAAGACACCAACCCACAGCTGTTTCTGAGTAACCACATACTACACACTTTAAACAACTGAGGATAAACACATGCTAGCATATTTCCACTGCCTGGGACAATTCCTGATGCAATACGTCATTGTAATCAGCAAAAAGCATTCAACACTCGTGTGTATTTTTACAAAACTGCTTTGACTGGTACTATGCCTAGAAACATCAAAAGAGGTAGAAGAGACCACAGTGGTCATCTAGTCCAACTCCATAGTTTTGCACATGAAGATAATGGAGCCCAGCAAGTTCCCATGTTTTGCCCATTGTCACACATATGGTAACTGTCAGAGATGTGATTTGAATCCAGGTCTTCAGACTCCTACTGTACTATAAGATCTCCTTGAAATAAAGACAAGATATGTTACACCTGAGAGAGCATGTAGGCCATGTATTCTAACCTACCTAGTTTACAGAAGAGGAAACTGGTGCTCAGAAAGGTTATAGGACTTCCCCAACATCATAAAACATATCCAATCAGTGGCTCAGTCTTCTCAAGTCTACCTGCAATGTCTCTCCCAGCCTCACGCAGCCGCTACCCTATTTCTGGCCTTTCTTACTTCTTGCCTGGACTACTGCAGTAGTCTTCTAATTGGCCTCCCCACCTGGGAAGTCTCTCCCCCACCCCAATCCATCCTCACAGTTGTCAAGGTGATTTCCCTAAAGCACAGGTCTGACCACAGCATTCCACTACTCAATGACCTCCAACTATATCCTGTTGTTCAAATAAAAATGCCTTTGTTTGACACGTAAAGCCCTTTGTAGCCTGGTTTCCACTTACCTCTCCAGCTTTACTGCACAAGTACCTTTTACATACTCCCCAGTCAAGTTAAGCTTTCTTTCTAGATGTTTCTCACACATAATATCCCATCTCCTTGCCTGTGCACAAGCTGTGTCTCATAGCTGAAAGGCCATGCCTCTTCACCTCCATCTCTTATAATCTTTCAAGGATGAACTTCTATGACAGGCCTTTCCTGATTCTCCCAGCTACTAGTGCCTTTCCCAAAAAATTTAGCATGTAGGTATTTTGGCCTCAGTTCTATCTAACCACCATATTCAATCTAACCACCAACTGAGCAGAAAGTTCGTCTCACTCTAATAAGTGGTTATCTAGTAAACCTTAGATCCAGTGTTGATTACATTATAAGGCAATCCCTTCCACTTCTGGAAAGCTTTAAATGTTATGAAATTTTCCCTTACATAGAGGAGAAATTTTGACTCCCTGCCTCTTCCCCTCATTAGTGCTAATTCTGCCACCTTGAGCTACATGAAATAAATCTAATCTTTCATCCACATGCTAATCCATCAAATATGTCTGACCTCTTCCCAATAAAATCACAGGTCTCCCAAAAAAAATCCAATTATCTTGTTTCACCATCACATCTTCCTGCTGAGGCATACTGAGTCTCATACGCAGTCCACCAAAACCCCCAGATCTTTTTCACTGCTGTCTAGCCATGCCTCCTCAATCCTGTAGTTGTGAAGTTTATTTTTTGAATCCAAATGTAAAGCTTTAAGTTTATCTATTTAAACTGTATCAAATGTATTGATAACGACATTAAACAGAACAGGGTCAAGGAAAGATGCCTGGGGCATTACAACTAAAGATCTCTAGTAATCATCGATCTTGAAGTTCATTTCTAACCATTATTCACTATTCTTTGGGTATAGTCATTTAATCATTTCCAAATCTATCTACCTGTCCTCTTAGCTAACCTACATTTCTTCATCTTATCCCATAGGATATTATGAGAGATCTTGTCAAACGCCTTGCTGACATCCAAGTACGATATACCTCCGGCATTCCCTTGCTCTTTCTACCTCACATTCCATTACCTCTTCCATGTAAATACAATGCCCTGCTCTAATACCTCCTCAGAATGCAAATTCTGATGGATCTTTTTCAGCCCTAGCAAATCATGAAATGACAAACGACGAAGGCACAGACAGATTTAAGTATGTGTCAGTGAAGGTGGTATTCACCCAATCAAGAAATCAGAAATCATCTGAAGTACTGAGGTAGTAATAATTAGGGTTAGGGTTAACCCATGCAAACTTCTATAATTCTTATCTACGTCCTCCTATTAGTTTGCTACAGGCAGTTTAACCAACATGCTGGGGATTTTTCTCACTTTCTTTTGACATCAGAAAGATACCAAAAGATACATTAGTTTTCCCTTCCTATTACTACACTTTCACCAATCCATCTTCTTTTTGAAACTTATGATTTTGACAAAATTCTTTCCTCCAGATCTCCCTGTTTACGAGGTGTTATAACCTACTCTAATCAATCACAAATTATTCATTGCCCTCTGGGTGATACTCATTTTGAATCCTTCAGAGACTGTCCCATGACCTTTAGCCATATAACAAAAGGATAATGGCATTAAAACGATGGACAGGGGTTTCCAGGGCACACAAGGAACAAGTTAGCAGACTAGACATTTTCTCCAATCCCCATGACCTCTCAAACCTCTCTAAAACAGAAACTAGATGCCAAAGAAAAAGCCATTTAAGCTGTCTCCAAGGTCTATCACACCCACAATCCAAAGGAATGTTAAAACCACACACACACACACACACACACACACACACACACACACACACACACACAGAGTTTACTGACCCGAGCTCACTTAGCAGCCCTCCTCAATCTCCTATGCCACCAGCAGCAAGGCTACACTAGCAGACCTTAGTAGACCCTTATGCCTCAGTACCCCTCCTGCTTTCCAGTGCCATGGAGACCTTGCCCCAGAATGCAGAAGTTTGCTCAGGCCTTAACAACCAGGTTAGTCACAGCCCTTGAGGTACAAAAGCTTTCCAGGGGTAACAACCCAGAAGCACCAGTGCTACAAAGTTCTGAAATGGCAGTGCCCGGGAAAACAGGTTCTGAACTACTGGCATGAGGCCAGAGAACTGAAGAACAGGAGTGTGATAGGTCACCAGAACAGGATAACAGAGCATGGGAAGGGGAGGATGGAGAGTTGGGAAAGGGCTGATACGTACTCCATCAAACGTGAAGAAAGTGCAACATCCAGCTGGAGCCAGGTCCCACCACCCAAAAATCAGTTGGGGTAGAGATCTAGACTGGTGAGTCATGAACTGCCATGTGAGGGAGGAGACTGAGATGCTGCAAGAGCCAGCCCCCAAGAAACTACAATCAGAGGATAGGGAGTCAAGAAGCAAGTGATAATGAAAGTAAGGGGGGGGGAAAGATTGAAAATCCCAATGGCAGAAAACAAACTCACACCTTGAACATAAACAGATAAATCAACAGGAAAGATAGCAACAACAGAAGGAAATAACGGCCTCCAGATCTAGTAATGAATTCAGACATCTACGAATAAATACTACAAAATAAAGGAAAATGAAGAGATAGAGGATCCTATAAAATTTGAGAACATGGAACCATAACGTGTTGTTCCTGAGTAGTTTAAATGAGAATTACCAGAGCAGAATTTATCCCGCACAGCAAAAATAATGAACAGAGTAGAAAAACTTGAATCTACAATGTCAAGCCCCACCAAAGAAACAAAATAGAGAGCAAAAGATTGGGAATACAAATACATAGAAATGAAGGACAAACTAGAATAAGGGAAGCAAAAAAAAAAAACATTAAAAGAAAATATGCTCAC